CCCCGAGGCTTTGTTGTGTTTCTATATTTATAGGAATAAAGTCCTCCTGTGTCCTGCGGCTGCGCGCCTGTCTCGGGGTGGTGGTGGTGGTCCCTGGGGGCTGGGCGGCCCGGTCTCCGATGGGGCCTGGTGGCCCGTTCAGAAGGAGGGATACCGACTCCCTCCAGCCTCTCTGTATCGGCTGCTGCAGTCGTCCTGCTTGGGGGGCGGGGGGGGGGGCGCTGTGGTCTGATCCAGCAGGGCTCTCCTGATGCTCCTTTGCCTTCTGTTGGGCCAAGAGGGGGTCCCCCCACCCAGGCTGGCTTATTATTTATGTCACTTGCATCCTTCTGCTTTCCCTGCCGAGCAGGGCTCAGGGCGGCTTCAGACAGTTAGATGTACGATAAGACCAACACGTTGCAGTTTAGAAATCCAGTATTACAAGTTGGCTCAAGTGGTTAAGAGGCTGAACTGCAGCCTGGAAGGTCGGTAGTTCAGCAGTTCGAGACCCGAGCGCCGCGTGACGGAGTGAGCTCCCATCTCTGGCCCCAGCTCCTGCCAAAGCAAGAAACTGCAAGTAGACAAATAGGTCCCGCTTCGGTGGGAGGGTAACGGTGTTCCGTGGCACCTCGGTGTCTAGTCACGCCAGCCACATGACCACAGAAATGTCTTCGGACAGCGCTGGCTCCTTGACTTGGAAACGGAGATGATATATCAAAGGAAGCATAAGCTATTGTGATAAGATTACGAAATACTTTTACTGACATAATGCACCCTATAATACCAAAACACCATAGTTGTGTGGAAACAAGCATACAATAATCGTCCTGTTCATAAGACTACAAAGTCTCTTAATATGCAGAACCGTTTCTGAAAATAAACTGTTTTCCAGACTCCTGTCTTCTTGTTTGTAGATAGTAACGCAACTAAGAGGATTATTGTATGTTTGTTTCCACACAACTATGGTGTTTTGGTATTATAGGGTGCATTATGTCAGTAAAAGTATTTCGTAATCTTATCACAGTAGCTCATGCTTCCTTTGATATATTGTCTTCTATTGTGATTCTCTCAGTCTCATTACTGGAAATGGAGGTGAGCACTGCATCCCTCGAGTTGGATTTGACGGGCTTTCGAGCAAGGGAAACCTTTACTGTTACGCGTTTAAAAACCGAACAATCGATCTGCTCTGTCAACTGGGGAAGCAGCCGGCACAGAGAAGTTCACAACGTCAAAACAGGAAGGAGCGGGATGAAAACGAAGACAAGGTGGAGAAAGGGAAATGAAAAGCAAGGAAAGGGAGAAGGAGGGAGCCAGGATGTCTCTCTAACCGTCACTGTCCTCAGCCGTCCGCTTGGCGGAACATCTCGGTCTCAGAGGCCCTGCGGAAGTGAGCCAAGCCCCGAGTCTCACTGGACAAGGAGCTCCACCAGGTGTGGGGCCAGGGATTACCGATAAGTGGCCACCAGACAGGTGTAGTGCTCTCTGGGGGGTCTATGGGAAGCAAGTACGATGGGATGCAGGGAGTGGTTTGGGCACACAGAAACACGGTGAGGGAAAGGAGGTGTTCCGCCTCTCCTCTTTGCGGCCCCAGATTGAAAGGGGAGGGGCCCTGCAGCAGCCTCTTGCTGAATGTGGGGTGGGCTGCGGCCGAGCTGCCCCCCGTCCATCTCTTGCAGTTCTCCCCCCTCGAGGCGGGAAGCAGACCCAGCCTGCCTGCCTTTCATCTCTGTCCTGGGGGACAAAACCAGGGGTCATTTCCTGCAGGAGTGCACAGGAGCAGAGCTCCAGCAGTAAAGAGCCCAGGGGGCGGGCACGTGCAACAAGCCCCATCCCCCTGCTCCCAGCAGCCCTCAGTCAGAGCAAGAAGCAGCCAGGTAAGCTGCAGAGCCCCCCCCAGCTCCCCGGTCCAAAACAGTCCAGTGGCACCTTTAAGACCAGGTTTTATTCAGGCACAAGCTCTCCCTCCTCTGCATGAGGACAGACCTGCACGTCCCATCCCCCCCCCCCAATAGCTAGGAATCCAAAACAGTCCAGTGGAGCCTGAGCGGTGGACATGGTGTGGGGGCTGTACTGGGGCAGGCCAGACCCTCTTTGCCCTGAATCGGACCGAGATCCATGCTCAGATTGGGGGGGGGGGCCCTTGCACAGCCGAAAAGGGCACCTGCGGGCCCATTCAGCCCAGCAGTGGTGTCTGCCGCCCAGAGCCCGGGTAGGAGAGGGACGCTGGATCCTTCCACACACCCAGGCGACTCCAGGAGCGGCTCGTCTGGAGCTCTCCCGGTCAGGCACGAGCAGGTTCTTGCGACGTGCAGGTGTGGAAACCTTGGGGAGCGTTTGTGTGTGTGTGTGTGTGGGGGGGGAATAGGATACGAAGTCCTTCCAGGACACCAACTGGTGGACTTCAATGCAGAGAGAACAGCCAGGAGTGACAGCTGTCCGCCCCGCCTCTCGGGATAATGCAGCCCCCCCCGCTTCCTCAGCTGTACCATGGGGGGGGGGACGGGACGCTGGATTCCCATTCTCAAGGCCAGCGGCTGGGGTACCCTGCAAAGAAAGACCCAAACGCGTTGCCTTCGTTCCTTGCCCTGCAGCCAAGATAACAGATTTTTATTTTTATTTTACAAAAATGGAAAAGGAGGGGAAAGCAGGTGGTCGGGGACTCAGGCAACGGGGAGGGGGCCATACCGAGGGGCTCGCCCACCCCCACCCCGCCCGGCACAGCTTGTACAATGCTCCTGCGCCTGGACGACTGGAGGCCCAGGCCGAGCCTGACAGGCGGCCCCCACCAGCCTGTTCCCTTGCGGAGGGAGCAGAGGCCCCGGGGGTGGGGGGGCGGCCAGCTCACCCCTCCCAGGGCTGCACCTCCACCAGGAAGCTCTGGGCGAAGCAGGGGTCTTCCTCCTCCTCCAGGCCCCAGGCGGCCCCCAGCGCTGGCTCTGCTCCCACTTCCTCCTCCCAGGGCTCGGTCAGGGGCTCCGGGGGGCGCAGCAGCAAGGCCTCGTCTGCCGGGGGTGTCTCCGGCCGAGGAGGGCCCCTCCTGCTCAGAGCGCAGAGGGGCAGGTGGCGGGAGAGGGGGGGCAGGTCCTCCGCCGGGGCCAGAGCGCCCAGGGCCGTACGGAGCTCCAGGTCCTCGCTGGCGTCGGTGTCCAGGGTCTCCTCCAGCCCAGGATCCCAGCTGAGGGTGGCCGGCAGGATGGCCGTCTCCCCGGGGGGCTCTGCTGTGGGGGACGAGGGGGTCCTCCCCCCGGTCGCCCTGCCGGCCTGCAGAGGCGGGCCGTCTCCTCTCTCCCTCCGGCAGGATCCGTGCCTGGCGTGGAGTGCCGGCATCCGCTTCCGCGGGAACGCGCCGCCGAGGAGCGTGTCGGCGTACTGGGGGTCGATCTGCCAGAAGCCCCCCTTGCCGGGCTCGCCCTTTCCCCGCGGCACCTTCCGGAAACACTTGTTCAGGGAGAGGTTGTGCCGGATGGAGTTCTGCAACGACAGACACACGGCCAGGGTGGCTCAGTGGGGGGCGCGAGAGAGGGCTGTGGAGGGGGAAGGGGGGGTGACTTGGTGGCCACCACTAGCCGAGCAGAACCCACAGCCTACAGCAGAGTAGCCCTGAACGCAGCAAGCAGCCAGCACTAAAACTCCGAGGGTTCTGGACCAGGGGTGGCCAAAATGCTTAATGTAAGAGCCACACAGAATAAGAAGAATGGATGTATACCCCATGGCCCTTCAGTACCCAAGGGAGTCTCAGAGCGGCTTACAAACTCCTCCCCCTCCCCGCAACAGACAGACACCCTGTGAGGTAGGTTGGGCTGAGAAAGCTCTTGACAGAAACGGCTCTTTTTCAAGGACAGCTCTTGTCAGAACTACGGCTTCCCCAAGGTCATCCAGCAGCTGCGAGTGGAGGAGTGGGGAATCAAACCCGGCTCTCCCAGATTAGAGTCCGCGCACCTAACCACGACACCAAACTGGCTCTCTCTCGTAGATAAACAGATGTTTGAGAGCCGCAAGACGTGAACAAATATCACACACATTTTTATTGGGAAATATGCAGATTTGCTTTTTCTTAACATTAAACGAGACGGCCAAAAATGAAACCAAAAGGGGTAAAAACAGATATTTATTTATCCAATGATATTTGAGGGCGGGGGGGGGGGGAGTTTGAGAACGCATCTATAATTTGCTTTCTTTCTCTGCTTCCCCCCCCCCCCCAAAAACCCCAAACTAACCCAGGGGGGCAAAACGCCCGCCCCCCCCCCCCCCCCCCCCGCCGCTGCCACATCCCCCCCCCCTGGTCCTTCGCCGCCCACCGGGGGCTGCTGCTCCTTACCTGCCAGCCGGGCTCGGCCTGGCGGTAGTAGGAGAAGTTCTCCGTGATCCAGGCGTAGATGGCGGCCAGGGTGAGCTTGGCCTCCCGGCTGGCGCGCATGGCCATGCAGATGAGGGTGGCGTAGGAGTAGGGGGGCTTCACCCGGGCGTCGGTCTTGTAGTCGGCCCCCTCGGGAGCCGGGGGCTGCGGGGAGCTGGTGCCGGAGGCGGTGGGCCTGCCCATGCTGGGGGGCAGCCCCTTGGCGGCCGTGTCTCCGGCCGGGGGGCTGGCCGGGCCGTAGGAAGAGCCCTGCGGAGGGACCCTCGGGGGGCCCCCCAGATGGCCAGAGGCGGACGGTGCCTCCGGGTCAGCGGCGGGGAGGAAAGAGAACTCCTGGAGCCACTGGAGGTTGGTGAGGCTGTCGTCCGGCGCCCCAGGGGCCCCTTCGCAGTCCTCCCAGGCTCTCCGGTCCCGCTGCGCCTCCTTCCGCCGGACTGCTACAGGCAACCTGCGGGTGGCCATGGGGTCCCTAGCCCCGAGCCCTCCGCTGGGCCTGGCTTTCTCCCTCTGGGAAACAAAGACCGGGTAGTGGTGGTGCGTGAGGAGGACGAGGAGGAGACTGGGTCCAGGAAGATCTCCTGCGGGGAAGGTGGGGGGAATCCTGAAACAAAAGGGACGCTGTTGCCAGCCTCCGTCTCCCCCCCCCTCCAATGGATTTGGTTACCTGCACTCTGTGTGCCAGGGCCTCGCGGCCACCCGCGCCTTTGGGAAGCGGCTCCCTGGGGAGGCGCGATCCTGTTTCCGAGGGTGTCCAGGTGGCTGCGGTCGAGCAAGGGTTCATGTTCGCCTTCATTAAGGGAGTGCGCGGCTAAGCCAATGGGGCTGCAACCGGAGAAGGCCTGGGCGGGGGGGGGGGGAGTCCCAGCCTCACCGACCAGCCAACCAAAAAAAGGCCGGAGGCAGCTGCAGGGCCCCCATCCGGGGGGGGGGGGATCAGCTAGCATCTCTTGCATCCTCTTGTGTGAAGGAGCTGCAGGGAGGCCAGCCCAGGCGCCTCTGGCTCACCGGGAGGGGAGGGGCCCGATCCGACCCGGCGCTTCTGGACCTAGGCAAGCCCCACCTGTGAAAGGAGATAACAGGCCGTGGTGAAAACGATGGGTCAGAGGATGAGAAAGGCGCAGGAGGTGGGCCCTCCGGCAAGCATTCCGACCCCCAACAGGGTTGCCAACCTACAGGTGGCGGCTGGAGAGCTGGCATTACAACTGATCTCCTGGCGGCAAGAAATCAGCTCCCCTGGAGAAAATGGCTGCTTTGGAAGGCGGACTTTACGGCATTATACCCCAATGAAGTCAGCTCCCCCCCCCCCACGAACAGGCACTGCCTCCGAACTCTCCAGGAATTCCCCGACCCGGAGCTGGCAACCCTACCCACATAGAGGTCTCGAGGCAGGACGACTGCTCCGAATTCCAGGGAGGGAGGGAGCACCAGGGGGTGGCCTGCAACGCTCTTGACAAGCCCAGCCGCCGGCCCTGGAAGGGTCCCTTCATTCTCCCAGGGCAGCCAACATCCTTCCCCTTCACCCATGGTTGCCACCTCTGGGTTGGGAAATTCCTGGAGATTTTGGGGGTGGAGATTGGAGAGGGGAGGGACTTCAGACGGGTACACCCTCCAAAGGAGCCATTTTCTCCAGGGAAACTGGTATCTGTAGTCTGGAGACCAGTTGTAAAAGCAGGCGATCTCCAGGCCCCACCTGGAGGCTGGCAACCCCACCTTCAGTTTTGCAAAGTCCTCCCCCCCGTTCTTGCTTTCTCCCCCCCCCGTCCCCTTGGTGCGGGCAGTGGGGCTCCCACATTCCAGGTCAGTGGCGGCTGTCCCCCTACTTTGGGGCCGCTTGGCAGAGCCTGCGAGAGAAGAACAGGCACTCACACGTGCTCTGGCAGACCCGAGTCCCCAGGGACCTGCACTGCAATTCCCCGAAAACGCTTGCTTGAGAGTAAACCCCCGTTGAGCAGGCCAAGCAGGGCTGCATAGGGTGGCCCCCTAAGAGATTCAACCCTCCCCCACCCCCGCTGTTAAGGGGTCAATCCGGATTACTGTAGGTTGGTTGGTTGTAATTGCGTCTGGTTGGGCGAACGCGTGCCTATTTCTCCGACGCGTGCGGGGCCTTGAGCAAGCAGATCCAAGAGAGCGCACCGAGCTCTCGGGTGGATTGCCCGCAGCTCGAACACGCGTCTCATGCCTGCACGTGAGAACGTCCAGAGCTTGGCACAGTCGGCGACTGGGACGGAAGTCTTCGCCAAAGCCCTATGATTTACACGCCACACGCAGAACCAGCCCCTGCCCCCACCATCCCGGCTGGCTAGGAGGCTCTCTGCACACGCCCCGAGGGGCACCGCCATCAGCCTTCGGGAACGCAAAAGCTCCGCCGACGAGCAGGAAATCATTCAGGACTACACTTCCCGAAATGCACAGCGTTGGTTAGCCACACCCCGCAGGCAGTTCGCGCTGAGGGGTGGAACAGCCCTATTGGCCAGCCGGCCCGCCGAGTCGCCGCAGGCGAGCGGCATTGGCTCGTCCTCCCAAACTCCGCGCGCCCATTGGCTGCCACCCCCTCGCGCCGGCCGTCATGGCGGGTCCGGCCTCG